GGGTTTCTTCTTTATGCGTCATTATTACTGACCTTGTTCCTGGAGAAATGGAGGCCGCTCAGGTGCGAAGCTGTCATGTATTGGGGCCAGTAAGGTAATTCTCCTAAGAGCCCTTTTTGCCTGTAGCAGTTGGCAGCTCCTCTCCGAAGCCTGTGTACCTTTTAGTCCTGACTGGCTCTTGCTGCGTTGCTGCTCACTCAGAAGTTGCCAGGCAGTTTCTTTTTAACCCTCCACACCTTTCGCCCCTCCTCAGGACCAGTACTGCAGAGATACAGGTATTGAGCCCGCGCCGATGTGTTTTTTCACAAGAGAGAAACCATAAATCTAAACCCTGTAGGTACTTCAGCTTTTCTTCCCCAACAGAGTCACTTTCACTGTTAACAGCAGCTGTTGTAGTTGCTGAGGTAATGGGCAGTAATAGGAAGACTTCCTAGTCTGGTAACTAGCAAGTGTAATCTAGTGTGGGGTTTCTTCTGACATGGCCTTAGAAGGAAGTTCTGATTACAGCAGGAACAAGTACAGTATTACAAAAGCTGACAGCTCTAAGGTTAGGCTGAATATGTTGGAAGAAATGATTGCATTATTGCTGAAACAAATGCGGTTGCGAGTCTGGTTCCTCAACAGATTTATTTAAGAAAGTAGTTTCAAATAAGGGGTTTTTTGCCTTTTGTTTTTGAGCTTTGTTATATGATGTTTTCAGACTTTCCTGAACAACCAGAGGTTAGAAATGTGTTTGGTATTAACAAAGGCAGAATTCTTTAATGACTTTAGTTCTGAAAACTAAATTACTTGAATCTCGACATAAACATAAGAGCTAACACTTGTGTAGCTCTATTGAGTGTCACACTACATGCCCACAGAATTTGAAAAAGATTGAAGCTGCATTTCCAGGCATTGTAAAATAAGCTATCAAGGTGCAGCGTGCTCTTCTGTCTCAGCTTATTTTAAAGAGTAAATAAATATGTATTTCAGTATCTACCTTAAAATAGTGCTCTATTATGGATGAGGGGTGGATCGGGTAAAATTAAAGTATTTCTAAGGCTGTCTAGGTACTCCCTAGCCAAATAGCATCAACATTCAGAAAAGCAATACATTTCGGCACAGCATAAGTGTTCTGTCAAGAGCGTAGAAGTTCTATGTTGTAAGAGAAAGTTTGCATGAAAGAATATAAATATTCTCAGGTGCAGAAGTCAGCAGTAAGCATAAAATATGAGCTAGCCAGATTAGGCAGGTCTGATTGCTGCCCTTTGTGGAGAAGCGTGGAAGAGTACTAATGTGTAAACAGGATTTCCTTCCAGCAGGAGGTTGGGCACAGTTAGTAGAAGCTATTTTTCTGGATTTGTTAAAATACTGCTGTAGATGCCAAGTTTAATTAGAATTCCCTCAAATCAAAGTTTCTTACAAGTCAGGAGACTATTTTAGGATCCTATTTCTAAACCATTTAGGAGCCTAACTAGGGATATTTTCTCTTCTTCAGAGTATTTTGTAGCATCTTCCCGATCAAAGCCTGCTCAGAAATAAGCCGCCTATTTTTATCATGGGTCAGATGCACAGCTTCTGCTAATTAACATAGCAGCGCTGAAGGCCTCAGATACAGCCTTACATAGAAGCCGCTATACAACAAAGACAGGTTTGGATTATCAGATTACACGACAAATGTGTGAACATACTTGTAGGGGTCCCAGAATGTTTTTGTGTGTTTCTGGGGATGGCAAAATGCAAGTAGATTGAATCTTCCACCAACTGTATTTCCAGCAAGAGCAATATTGAAGGTGACAGAATGGAATCAACTTCCCATAAACCCTAAATTTTCTCAGGGGATCTCAGATTGACGAAAAGTAATTATAACTTAGTTAATGAGAATTCCATCTATTACGAGGTGTCATGCCACATCTGGCAAAGAGTATCTGCAGCACCAGCCAGTTTTGTTTTGGTTTTTAAAGGAAGCTTTCAGTAATAGAAGTGAAGCAACTGTAGTTGTCTGTAGCTGGGAAACTGATGACTCAGACCCTATTCATGCTGTTGAAAGACTGTTTTATGAGACCCGTCAGAGCTGTGGGTGGACCTGGAGAGGAGTTCGAAGGCAGACTTCATACGCAGTGATGCCTGCAGCGGTGTCTGATGATTGTCCCGTCATACACCGCTAATGGCATATCGTTTTGGAGGTTTTCTTTAATCTTTGGGTTGTGAGGCTGCAGAAAAGGGCAGGGCAGGGAATTTCACCATTTCTTTTATCTAAAGAGGTGTACCATCAGGTCAGAAAAGAACTGCTGAAGCAGCACTCTGCCTTAGAGGGGGAAAGAAAGTATTGGAGTTTGCTTTGACCCTGCTACACCCCTGTGTGTAACCATTTGTAACTAGTGACATTTTCCCATCAATAACAAAAGGGTATATTCCAAACTTGATGAACAAGACTGTAGCTGCATAGCTCCCATGAATGCTAATAGGAATACAGCCTTTCTCCATCCCCATGTAAGTTACTTTGCATATCCTAATAGTGCATTCTCAATGAGCAACAGGGTCAGTGTTAATCACTCCATGGCATTCCAAGAGCAACTGCAGGGATCTCTACCACATTCCCCTTGGTCATGTTATATCTAGTGTGGCTTGATCAGAGCTAGGAAGTTAAGTATATGCATGGGAATATTAAAAAGATCTTAAGGAATTAAAAGAAAGGAACTGTAAAGGAGATGTTCGAGGGCTGATATAACTTGTTAGTCATTTTTAATTAAAAAAAAAAAATTCTGTCTGGAAATTACATAAATGTCATGTGCCACCACTGTTTTTGTAAGTCTTTGAGTCATTCTATGATTCGGGACCACAGGGCTAGATTTACATTTAGATAGCTAGTGCCGAGTATCTAAATGTATGTTTTAATGGCTTGAATGACATCATAAGCTATGACTCATTAAAAGATTCACACAGAAATAAATATACAGCCTTCGTCTCTGCTTCCCTGCTTGGTACTTGGAAATGGTACTAAAATTGTAGGAAACAGTAATGTCAAGGTAGATCTGCAGCTCCAGGGGAGTCCAAACAAAGGGTGAAGTTATTAAGCAGTGTCTGACTGCAAGATGTGTAAGGTGCAGTAAGAGGAGCTATTAAAGAACTATGAAAGTATGCAGGAAGCAAATAATGCTAAATCTGCAGACACTTGCAGAGTAGTCTGTTCTCTGGTGGAAATATTTGCACGTATATGTTTAACTATTAAGTATTATAATCTGGGCCTTGATCCTCAAAACTAGCAGAAACCTTTTTTAGTTAGCAAGGTTCCAACAATGTAACCCTAAAATGGTTTAAAAATGACCACAAAATTTAATTTATTAATTTAGTATTGGTACGGTTTTAATGAGAATAAATGAAAATTTATCTTTGGATTGAGACTGTTATTTCCCAATTTCATATTTCATGTATTTGCTTCCCTTTGGTTACTCGACATGAATTGGTTACTTTTTAATTAATTTTATTTAAATTTAATATGTATTCATATTAAAAATATGCTGTG